GCCGGGAAAAGTTGGTGCCTATGTAAGGAAGTGTTGTTTACCCCTTCACATAACACAAGACCCAGAGTCCCTCAAACAAACAAAAGGAAGTACTTCTTCACACAACACAGTCAGTCTGTGGAACTTGTTGCCAGGGTATATTTTGAAGGTCAAAAGTATAACTAGGTTCAAAAAAGAATTAGAGAAGTTCATGGAGGAAAGGTCCATCAACGGCTAGCAGCCAAGATGGTCAGGGATGCAACCCCATGCTCTGGGTGTCCTTAAGTCTATGACTGCCAGATGCTGGGACTGGATAACAGGGGATGGAACATGCAATAATTGCCCGGTTCTGTTAATTCCCTCTGAAGCATCTGGCAGACAGAAGCACCGGAAGACAGGCTACTTGGCTAGATAAACCATTGGTCTGACCCAGTAGAGCCGTTCTTAAGTTCTTATGACACTGCCATTTAGCCCTGGTACAGAAATGAATTTAAATATGCGTTTTACTAATAAACACATGCTTGAATTCAACCATATTCAGCAAAGCACTGAAGCACATCTAAGAACACTCATGTTAATGGTACTTAAGTATGTCCTTATGTGCTTTGCTGAATTGGGATGAACTTAAGCATATGCTTAAAGTCGAGCATGTTCTTTAAGTGAATTCAGGCCCCTAATACTCTGTCTATGCATCAGACAATTTTTAAAAACTTTTGGATACAAGGGTCTCATTTAAGGATCACATCCATTTTGTTACAAAGGTTTTTGTTTTTCATTTAAGAAATAGAGTCCCCATAAATCCAAACTTGGAAGTTTCAGCCACTGAGGTTTTATTATTGGCCTTCATTATTTCCAGAGTAGATTGTTGTCAGACATTGCTAGGTGTATGCCTAATACATGTCAGACTACAGATCACGCAAAATTCACCATTCAGATATATATTCATATATCAACCTATTTCCCTTCTTTGGAAGATATTACTGTTAATGAAGAGAGGGAATGGCAATGTAATAAAGGAGTAGAAAACATCAAACTATAAAAATGAAATACACACACACACACACAAGCAAAGCCAAATTTATGTTTCGGAATTCTGTCTGTTCTTAGTTAGGGACTTCAGGTGCAAGTTCCTCCTTATTCACTGGAGTTACTCCAGAATAGCATTAGTATGTTTGAGTGAGAATTTGTCCCCTAACTATTTTGGCGTCTTCTCACCTGGCCCATTAACCTTTGGTTTTAAGTTTCCTGTTGTTGTTCTAGTAGCAGGACCATCTAAAAGCCAAATGATCATTTGGGGAAATGGGGAGAGGGAGGAGAATGGGTGAAGTGTACAATCCTTTTCTGATTCTGCTTTCCTTCCTTCTAATGTACCCTGTTGGACTGCAGGAACTCTTACCTACGCCTAATTGCAGCACAGTCAGTACAACAGTGTAGGAGGGAAGCAAATTATGTATATGGGATAGAAGCTTCTGCAGGAAGACAGATTTTAAATGTGATAGGTTTTTGACCAAGAGGTTTCCCCTTGATGTTTGTCCATGGTCCTCTGAGGATCCCATGGTGATATTTTGCCAATTGTATAGTGTTTTTTTTTTTTACATTTGCCAGTATGTCAGTTCATTTACAAAGCAGATGTGCAAATCTTTTGAGTTTTAGTTACTCCAAGCAGTTTCATCACTCCCCCAAGTATCATTAATAAATGTAACTCTTTACAGCTGGCCCCTCTCTCTAAGTCACTTACATAAATTAAATACAGCAGAGGGCCTGTTGGACACAATTTAATATTTCCCCCAAGTTCTTCTCACTGCAAGTATTCTTAGCTTTCTATTTTTAATCAGTTCCTTTTCCATTCCGATGTCTTTCTGGATCTCTATAGGATATGATTCCAGCAACAGCCTGTCACATGCAGGCTTTCTAAAGTTATCAGAATGTACTTTTAGACTTTGTTGGGGTTTCCCCAAGACCTAATCCACTTGGTTCCCCAAGAACTCAGTTCAACTCCAGTCTCATCACTTGGGTTCCTTTATTTGGCATACAGGAAAACTGCACTGAGGTGATCAGTATACAGCGTACCACACATCCAAAGTTACACAACAAATCTCTTCCGTTATATACATTTACCCATTACATTGCATTTACTGTACATTGTATTACACATTATGGGATTGGCTTGGTCACTTTGTAGGCACCAATCCCTGTACAACATGCACTGCTCATGCACAATTTACTCTTTACCTCATTTTATGTTCCAGGTTTATTTTATCCATTGTTATCTTGTCTACTGTAAATGGCTCCCTGGGTGTTCCCCGTTATCTTAGGTAGGACAGACATTCTGTTTCCAACCTGTTGATCCATTTACTACCTAATCCTGTCTCCCAAAATATCAGGCCTCACCTATGTCGTTACTCATGTCAAGCCAGGCCTACAGGCCTGTCACATCTTCTTGAACCTTCAGGTTGCCAGCTGCAGATCCTTGGAATTCCTCTATCAAGTATTCTATCTCTCTGCCTTTTATATCAGTGACAGGGGTGGCTGTTAGCTGAATAATTACTTTTGTTTGAACTAATCACAGTTAATGTCTTAAGAAGATGTTCGACATCTAAGTTTCAGACTACATTTACCAGAGACATTTGTTATTCCTATTGGTAGCATCTCTAGAACTGAATGAATATCATAAGCTAAAAGAAGCCCATATTTCTAATTGGGTTTTCTCCCCAAAGAGTTTTATGCTTCCAGGTTGGGAGCATGGGGATTAAAATGTAACTCCACACCAGTGAACTTTGCTTTCATTACCACTAAAAATCCCTTGCCACACTAATATGAGGAAAGATTACTGTGCCCCCACTATTCCTGAAGTTTATCATAGAATGAAAATTTGAACATATAAGTACAGCATGGTAGGCATAAAAATGGTACATATATTGGATGCTCTGGCTTTGTCTTTCAAGAATAACCTCCTCCTCATTGATGGTCATGTCTGTGACAGATACGGCAATTTCCTGCAGTATCTTGGACAAACCTTATTGAATTAAGTTATATATGATTGAATTAAGTTTTAAGTATGCTAGGAGTTCCATTGTATTAAAAATGCAAATGTTTGTATATTATTGTGGGATTGTATGCAAAGCCTCTAGCAGGGAGACATGGCTAATATAAACCCTGGGAACTGTTATGAGCTTCAAAGGCTATTTGAAACAACATGCCAGACAAGAATAAACTTTTAAAGTTAAGTGGGTTTCCCAGGACATCTCTAGGGGGAGGTGTATGCAAATGTACCCCCTCTGATGATGCAAGAACTCAGCCTTTTGAAGCTTTGCCCTGGGGACAAGATCAGAGGCCCAAACCGTATAAAGGAATAACTCTCAGATTCAGGGGTGGAGGGCTTGTTCTGAGCAAAAGGTATTATGAACTTGTGACCACAGAAAAACCCCTTGGTGGGGTTTGAAGGACTGACTCCTAACAGAGTCCTTGATGGAATTGGGGTGATCTCTAGTAAGCTTGTTAGCATGCTGTAGGTTCTTTTATTGTCTCTGTAATGCTTTCACCTTAAGAATAAAGGTACTGCATAGGAAAATCTGTGTGTACCTTATAACTGTGGGCAACTACGTTGTTTACAGCCTCTGAGAAGAAAAGCAAAGCAGACCTGCTTAGGCAATCTGACTTGCTGGCCAGCTCACAGAGAAGGCAGGGAACTGTGCAGCCTGGAGAAACCCTGCTCAGGACGGGAAGAGACGCAGGTGAGGTGCAGCTGGGGAGCTGGAAGTCTAAGAGTGGGTTCCCTTAATGGACCATTGAGGGGAAATACAGGTCCAGTTGCCCTGAATTGAGACAAGGTCTATTTATTTAAAACAAATGTATTTAGAAAGTAGGAACAAAAATGTGCCCATGCTAGACTCCAACATGTATTTAAGAATTTACCATAGCATCCTCTACAAAGCCATCTGGGCACTGTACATCAGTAAAAACTATCAATTAACAGAATGGAATAGATGCTACTTAGTAATAAACAGAAAATCACATTATTTAGGTCATCCAATAATAGAGCTGGTTGAAAAATTTCCATCAAAACTGTCCACTTTCCAGGGAAAAGTTTTTTAGTTTTTGGTGAAAACTTTTCTCTCTCAACTTCTGGGTTTTGGCTGAATTTTTTTTTTTTTTTTTTTACACAAAGTTAAAATTGTCTGTGGAAAAACAAAGCATTTTCTAACCATTTTGATCCAAAAACCAAACTATATAAATATTTTTGCACTGACTTGAAGCTTGCCAAACTTATAGGAACATAGCTTGTGTATCAAAGCTCAGCAGACCTCTTCTAATTTCAATATTAATAGGTCATTAGTCTGTTTAAATCTCCGTAAATCTGTCTTGGTACCGTACCTAGAACAATTGGAGTCCTAATCCTGATTGCAGCCTTTGGTCCTAGTGCAATACAAACAATAAGTCATAAGAGGAAAAATCCTGAACCAGACTTAATTCCTGCTCTTCTGGAAATGTCCATTGATTCAAAGTTCTGGACCAAGGTACTTTAATTTATGAAAGATGTCCTTTATGTAGAAGGTGCTATGGTAATTCCTGCAGATAGTGATTATTCATCATTTAAAAGTTGATACTGTGCACAAGTTGTAAGACCAGATTGTACAATCATAAAATCATGGATATCTCATTGTCCCCCTAAAATGGACTCATGGTTTAAAATGACCCTGGCAGTCCTGTCATATTAAGAAAAGGCACCTCAGAACTCAGTTTTAAGACCAGGAATTCTATACCATATGTTCTGTTATGGTGGATTTTTCATCTGTCAGGTTTCAGCAGACAATGAGGGCACTCAATGAATAATCTGAATTCCAGTCAACTAAGACCTTATTGCCAGAACATTTTACAGCTCCCTTCACACTCAGCTAATCTTGTACAAAAGTCCCTCTGTTTCTACCCTGCTCACTCTACATCAAGGGGGGGGGGGGGAATGTGTGTGGGGGGAGGGGAGAAGGCAACAAGGAAAGAAGCAGACAGAAAGGACAACTATATTCTGGAAATCTCATGGTTTAATGAACATGACCACATAGATACATTGGTGCCTATTTCATGCCTCCTTCATTTGTCGTTTGTGTTTGTTGAACCTGGTGAGCTCTTCTTCAACAGATCTTCTGTTAATGTATATTGCATTCCTTAAAAAAAAAAAAGCAATACAAAAATTTCACTTAAAGCATGGAAATTCACTTTATACCACTGTTTGAAGGGAGAATCAAGAAAGAAAGGAAAGATAAGAATGGGGTTTGGAGGGATGATAATAAATGTGTTTGGGAGGAGAATCGTATTTAGATGTAAACTCTTTGGGGGAGTGTGATGGGGTATCCACCCCACACAAGGAAGAGCAAGTTAAATTAGGTCAATTAACCTGGTAGGCTGCACGTTGGAGGAGATTTAGGCTTGCAGGATAAGCACTAAGTGAAGAGGGAACCCAGCTGGGAAGGATGGAGGAAGCCAAGAACAGATGAATGCTGCAGGGGAAGTAGTCTGCAGTCACTCCTTGGGAGAAGGGAGGTGTGTTTGGGGCTACAGAGTTTGGCAAGAAACCTGGAGTTGCAGACTATCTGGAGTGGCCTGAAGACAGCTGATCTAGTGGGATTTTGATACCTTGGAAGGGGAGGATTGTATAGTGACTTGCCTGGAGGGCTGAATCATGAAAAGGGAGCACTTGAGTCTGGGGAGCAGGGCACAGTGGGAGGAAAAGGGCGTCAGACCTGCATGGAGCTAATCCTCCAACCCAACCACAAGGAGGTACCCTGCAGTAAGTGAACCCCATTACAGGCAGGGACCATGTCTTTGTTATATGTTTGGTCAGTGCTTATTATAATGGGGCTGGATCTGTAGATGCTACTGAAATATAAACATTCAACAACAACAACAAAACAACAACAATCATATGAGAATCTACCAAATGAAGTTTAGTCCTGTCTCATGAGGTGTTTGATAATGTGGCTCTCTCTTCACGCATTTTTTCACTTTTGCCTTGATGTGCACAACTCCATATTGTCATATGTCACAGCATTTGCTTTATATAAAAGATGACCTTGGAAAGATCCCAAACTGCCCCCATTCTCAGAGTGGAAACTTGTACCCAGTGTACTGTAAGCTCATTTGGACTAGGGACACACTCTTTTTGTTCAGAGTTTGTGCTAGATACCATACAACCCTAGTTCTGGTCCTGGACTAGGCTCTAAGGTGCTATGATAATACAAATAGTGTACACTCCATGAAACAATGGAGAGAATCAGCTTACCCAGGAGAAACAACTTAGACCTATTCTCTGAATCCTGGGATCTGCTGCAAGACATCTTTGCTCTAAGGCATCTTTAGCAGCACAGTGGCCCATATTGGACTATCACTTCATACTCACTTAGGGAAGTGTGCCACCTGGTAACTGAACAGCACCACTTCCTGCAGCTCACAGGATTTCTTGGTAAGTTTTCCATTCAAGTACTGACCTGGCCTGAACCTACTTAACTGTTGAGATCCCAAATGCAAGTGCTATGGTTATAGTGAGCAATCAGTGTCTGACCATCAGTGATTAACTGGTGCTAGGGTGAGCCCCAGCACCTCTAGGCTTGGCAGTTCATAGCCCCAGCCACCTCTTTCATTACATATTAAGCACTGCTGCCCATCAATCACCTTCCAAGGTGTTGCTTGCTGAATAAGCTGTTCATAGTGAGTACCACACTGAAAATTAATTTTGAACCAATTATAATGCCTTTCAGCTGTGGCTGGAAATACAAGCATTGGCATTCTCTTGTGTGGCATTGGCCTCTGCATTTTGACTTCATACCTCATCATTTAGTAACTAATAAGCTAATTATAATAGAGTAGGTAGGTGAGAATCTTTTATTGGATCCACCTTGTCTTCCTAATATCCTGGGATTGCATAGCTACAACTACACTGCGTAAACTAATTATACAAACAATTCAGTCTGTCTTTAAAATTTGTAGCGTGCTAGTGCCTTAAGGGCCTGAATCTGCAAGGTGCAGAGCACTTGACAGTCAACTCATACTGAAGTAAACCACAGCTGATGACAGGAGGTGCTCAGCACATTTGCATATCAAACCCAAATTGCATACAATATGATAAAGCTTGGTAGGATATTTTTGCTGAGACGTTACCTGGATTTGTAGGAGCCATCTTGCATGTTTGTAGTCAATTTGCTTTTTACAGAAGTGCTCAGTTGAACTTGCCCATGCAGCTGCTTCTGTGGATTGAAGAATTATTCTTCAGCTTCTGGAGCTGCTAGTTACTTGGTGGCAATAGTCTGCAATGTTAGGTTTTACCCATCAAAAAGATGTTTTGATCTTTTCACTGCTGAGAGTAAAGCATCTCCCTGATGCATTTTTCCCCCCTGCTGTGGAATTTTCTCTGTGAACAAAGCTGTCATTAATGTGTAAATTGTAGATCAATGTAGTATCTGTAGCTTCCCTCTAAAAGGATGTTTTACATCTGAGATAAGATTATGGGCTCTCTTGCAAGTTCAAAACAACAATATCCCACATCCAATAAGATTTAATGCTTTTCAGCCACATATTGAAGTCCATGAGAGACAGATCATAGTTAGAGATCACTATCCTGTTTTTTATAAAGACATAAAAACTACTATATTTGAATGGTACTTGCATTCTGTTGAAAAATGTTATTGTGCTGGGTTCATCTTCATTTACGATCATAAAATGGTTGCAGCTGGGGATTATGTAATGACCCAAAGAATTTTGATGCTGATATTGAATGAAGGGACTAATATAAGCTTCTGCCATGCCTTTTCCTTCTTGACCAAGTTCTAGTCCATAGGTGGGACAATTCTTCTTGATTACCTAACTTGATTTTCTACTCACCTTTCATTCAGTTTCTGAGCCATCTTCATGTATGTGACTAGAATGGGGTTGGCAATCTTTCAGAAGTGGTGTGCCAAGTCTTCATTTATTCAATCTAATTAAAGGTTTTTAGAAGGTCTCTTTCTATAAGTCTATAATATATAACTAAACTA